GGCACAGCCTCCCCGAGGCCACAGGAGACGTGGCAGGAGGTGATGGATGGAGACCACCTCCCCTCCCTTGCGAAGAGCAGGGTATCTCCCCAGCACTCTGGTCTTCTGCTAGCCATGGAGGGGGCCACAGAGTCAAATTCCTGCTCATGGGGACAGACGCGCTTGCCAGCTGGCTGAGCACCATGGCATCGGGCTGGGCGGCAGCGAGAGCCAGCGTACGGCCCCAGTGGCACAGCCACGCTCCGCCTGCCCGCCACCACATCGGCTGATCCACTCCGGGTCAGAAACGGCAGAGCCAAGAGGAGCCCCGTTAGGGAACAGGAACCCCGCCGTGCTGCACGTGAGCTTGGACGGGACCCCGCACCCCCCACGAGGCAATAGCTCCCACCCGCTGGGCGATGCTGGATCCAGCCCTCCCTTTCCCACTGTGCCCACGGCAAATAGCGCTTCGCTTCACTGCATCCACCATTACGGCATGTGTCGTAGGCGGGTTGGGGAAGCTGGCCCCACGGGCCTTCGGTACCCTACACCAAGCTATAACAAAACTCAGATTTTCTATCCGAACTTTTCATAACGCAGGAAGACATGAATCCCAAAGATTTGGCTTTTCAGGGCCTGTTTTGTCCCAGGGAAATGAGAAAGCTAATTCTTAAAGCGCACAAATCCCTTATGCCACCAGAGCGAAGGTCTCCTGGGAAGGGCTCAGCACTTTTCAATGTCCCTTTCCTTCTTTTCTCCTGAAGGTGCAGGTCACCAGATTGGGAAGGAATCCTGGCTTTGGAGCACACACACAGTTATGAAGAAGATGAATTTTAAATGTGAAGTTAACGTAGGTTGTTACTATCTTTATCAAGCCCTTTGCCTCCTTTCTAGGAAGCCTGGTTTGGAAAAGATGAATTATTGGCAGGGTAGTACCCTCCTTCCAAGCACTACGTTGCTTCTGCCCGAGCACGTGCCCTAAGGTAGCATGGGAAAGGTTATGTACCCTGCCCCAAGGGAATTTCCCTTAAGCAAAAGAAATTCTTTTTCCAATTATTTCCAGCACTGCCAAGCGGGGGAAAACCCACAGTGAGTGTGTGTACTGGTACACAGGACAGCCCCGGGCACCCACGAGGCTGACGGCTCCTGAGACTCTCAGGGTTCACACCAAAGTAGGGGGTCAACACCAGGGTCAACAAATACTTTAAACCTCTTTAAACTAAAACTGCTGAAAGGGGTGCTGCAGTCCTCTGCCAGGCTGTCCTACCTCAGGCAATGTAAGCATTCGTGCAGCTTTGTCGTGGAATCGCTGCATAACTTCAGCTGGAAGGGACCCAATCATCTGCCCAACACGCAGCCAGGCCAGCGTCAGGCTGAGCTTTGTGTACGTCCAAGGATGGAGACCCCACCACCCCACCGCATCCCCACAGAAGATTTTTTTCCCCCTATACCTTGTCGGAATTTGTTGCAACTCATGTCCTTTGAGAGGTGGGGAAGGTGCCAGGTCACAGAGCATGAGGAACCACACCTGACCCTGGTTCAGAGAGCATCCAAGCACTGTTCCTAGCTTGAAACGTGCTCAGCTCCAAGCCAAAGAATTAAAGATGGCAAGTGTCTGGGATTTCAGCCTTGTTTCCGTTTTATTCCCCCGTTGCCTCAGAAAAAGGCCCTACAAACAGCAGGAAGAAAAGCATACGAAAGAGCAAAGCCACAAACTCTCCTGCTTTCTGCTTCTACCAGCTGAAGAGGCTGCAAAAAATCCTGCACTGCCTGCAGAGGCTGGGGCAGGCAAGGAGCCGAGGCAGGCCAGCAAGGGCCTGGACTGTGGGCAAAGCTGCCCAAGACACAGCCCATGCTATAAAGGAATAGACAGTAACAGTTTGCGGGCAAAACCTCGTGGGTTCTGCAGGGAACCGCAATTTCTGGGCCAAGCTTTGGTCACTTTTGCTTTAGGAATAAGTGTCCAGCTCCTCCTTCCACCCTGACACTGATGGCTTGGGATGTACTGTAAAATTGGTGTCTGCTATGGCTGTTTCATCTGATAAAAGCTAATTTTTTTTTTTGTCATGCTTTTCCCTATTTCACTACAGTCAGTCTTCAATCTCTGTGGCCCCGAAGTCACCGGAGCAATGTACCCGCATTTCATCAGGGAACAAAGGACAAAACTGGATCTTCTCAGAAATCGTAAATGCACCGGTCAGCTCAAATTCCTCCACCCCCCTCTCCAGCAGTCACTCACCTTCCACTAAACTGCCAGCCCGGCCTTTCTCCAAAGATCCTGGCAACTCCCTTGGTGCCATCCTGCATCTCCCTCCTGCCCGTGAGCTCAATGCAAAATTACAGAGTTGTTACATCATTAAATGTTTCAGACAGCAGGACCATGGTGGAAAACGGACATGATTTGCAGTTTCTTTTGGCTGGCCTTGACGCTGACCTGGCGTTTTGGATCTTGCAAGGACAGGCTAGGAGACTTCTTTCCCAGGGTCCACCTTTGTGAAGTTTTACCTGCTTCACTAGCAGGTACTTTAACAGAAGCAGAGCAGATATGAAATTGAAGTCTTGTCAAAGCAGCAGTTTGTTGTTAACTTGTTAATCATGTGCCAATACAGTGATTTCTGAAGATCCCACTGCTAACACAATGTACTTTTTATGCTTCACAAGCAGTACGAGATACATTCCTAGGGCATGACTCTGCTGTGTGCCAAGAGGCAGCACTGAAGACTCAGCCCAAGTCAGAGCAAACACAAAGGTTTAGTTTCACCAAACCAGCTCACAATTGCTCTGCATCCAAGTAGCCTTCAACTACAGTTGCTTAGGAATTGCAGTGCCTTGTATACTAGAAAATACCACATTACTTGCATATACATTAGAAGTAAACTACTACAGGTGCACACCTCCTCCCATTCAGTTTGGGTTGGAATTTATTTGGAGACTTGAGTTTTCCTCTTATAGGGTACTTTAAAGTACCCTATAAGAATAGCTTTGAGAGTTACTGGCAAGAAAAATGTTGATCAAGTACTGTCACCACCTTGCAGAGGAGGAAAACATACCTTGCAGCACATTTTTCTGAGACCAAGGCTCATACAGCTCAGCATCTTGGGAAGAATTTGATCCCCTTTCCCTTTGGAAAAATGGATCTAAATTAACATTCATGACTTTTTTTTTCCCAGGATGCTCTGCTAGGGCTGAAGTAAACTGCAATCACAATGCCATTGTTAATAGGGCTTCTAGTAATACCTCAGAGTCAGCTAAAGCATTCTTATTAGCAGGATAATTTCACTTCACTTCTAATAGAGCTTTCCACAGCCTGAAAGACCACGTCATCCCTTGCGCTGTGCCGCCCCAAGGGAAAACCCAGCCTTCGCTGGAAATAGAACAAGGTTTCCCCAGGATCTTTGGAGAACTTCGGTTCTATCCACACCCCCCACTCCAGCTATACCACTGTAACAGCCAGACAGAGCTTTCAGGTGTGAGAACCAAGTGCCAAATACTGTGAAGTACAATTTTAAGCATCTAGCCTGAAACACACAGGAACCTCTCCAGAGGTTAAATGTGCTATAGCTGAGTTTAGAAGAGGTTCCTTACATCCTCATTGGATGAGATCCCTAAGATGGTGTTTGCAAGGCCCCCCTTAAGAGTTTTGCAAAAAAAAAAACCCAGCTCATTTTGAATAAGCAAAGATAAACCTTTTGCTCTCTCCTCACCTTGCTTTTCAATAGCTGTACTTACATCCCTACCCCAATCCATACCATAATGGGCAGGGACACCTCTTACTGACAGGTTTGCTATCCCAAATGAGTTGCCTTTCCTTCAGGAAGATGCTATTAGCAGAGCAAACTCCTTTTGTCCCTGAGCAGCAACTCTTCATCACCAGGTTAAGTTGGCGCTCCTGCAGGGTGCAGTTACTACCAGAAACAGCTGGAATATTCACTGCTGAACAAAAGTTTTGTGGCTCAGCAGGTTTTAGGATCAGTTTCTTGAAAGGCAGGAGCCTTGATTTACAGAATGCCCATGTAAAGGAAACTACCAACACTTAAACTGCTGTTTTTTCTTTTAGAGAATACACCAGGACCTGGAGCATACGACATAGAGAGGAGCTATCGTGCTTGCTTACCCCGCTCCCCCAGTATCACCATTCAAGGAATCAGGAGACCGAAGAAACATGAGACCGGGCCCTTTACAACTCTCTGAAACAGAGAGGACCACAGGATTTCACCCATCATCAAGGGACTCGCTTCTCTTCAGTGATGAAAAAAGCACAAAAGAAATTCAGCTCAAGAACTAGAGTGTGTGTGCTTGTCCTGGTCACCAGAAGAAAATCCACAATCTCTGCTCGAAGGCAGGAGAAAAAGCTGAGTGAAGAATCTGATCTGTTCTACAATAGAAACCCCACCATGCCACTGAGGCCAGAGGTTCCTCCCAATAATGACAGGCTAGAGGCAAGGCCAAGCTACATACTGCCAGGCACATGAAGCGACTCTCCCCTGGCCCCTGCGGTCCCTGGGAATGCTGACTGGACAGCCACACCTTGGATTTCATTTCAGACAGGGACTAGTCAGAGCCCTTCCATCCCACAAGCACATGCAGCTACGCTAGCACAGGGTTACGAGGCAGGCAGCCTGCAAAGCTATTTTCAAGCCTCTGTGTGTGTTTGTGTCCTGGCTGTAGTGGTTCAGGGGAAGCTGGACCTGTTAACTACAGCACTCACCCAACGACAGGCAACACCTGCTGCTCTGAGCTGCACATTTGGCACTGGCAAGAACAGAGCTCACAGAGAGCAAAGGCCACAAGTTAGCAACATTTGCTCTTTACTGGAGTGCTGGCTTGAGGCAATTCCACTCTCTAAACTCAGTGTTGCTGCAAGCAAATGATTTCAGGGCAGCAAATGGGAAATGAGCATCTTCTAGCTTAAAAGTTTGTGTAAGAACCATCACCTTGGTTGATGCAGAGGGCAGGTGGTCCCCAGCCAAAGGCCACTATTCATGCAGCATGGGACAAGGACAAATTAAGCCAGCAACACTGCAGACAACTGGGTCTTTTATTGAGTATTTAAGGTGCTACAAAAAACTTAAGGAGCCTTCATATGGCAACTTCTTTTCTGCAGTCTTAGCTCTGTTGAAAGAAGCAAATACAGCTCATTAGTAGAGAGCCTTTTAGTAAATAGCCTAATACAGCAGTTTCAGTCAGAGATGGATACTTACAGCTGGGCACTCAATTGCACCGTTATTAATGTCATCAATGATATCATGTGGGTGCCTGCCATCGATGCTGCAGCCCACAGACTGGGCAGTTCCAAGAATCTCCTTGATCGTCCCTGCAGTGGGAAGATACAGCTTGTCAGTGCTTCACCACAGGAAAAGCTTTGAAGAACACAGAGAACGCAATTCCTCAGAGCCCTCAGCCATCCCTCCCTCCCTTTGGGGTTCACAGGCCATAGCCATGGGGCTAACAAGCGGGACAGCAAGCCCCTTTAGCCACACCTCGCATACTTGTTTCCAGGGAACACACCAGAAAGCACATCTGTTGCCAGGTACCTTTCGCCATCCTGTACCACCTTCACCAGAAGGCGTGAGGCTGGCTCACACAGCCAGCACAAGGCTGTTCCTCTGGTGCTCAGTGCCTGAGCGGCCAGGCTGCATGAGGAGCTCCACCACCACACCACAGCTACGGGGCCCTCCCAGGAATCAGACCAGAACGTGGCTCAGGCACTCAGAGCAAGCAGAGGGAGGACTCAGTGCAACCCCAACACTTACCCGAGAGCTCTCGAGCCAGGGATCTGTGCCGCATCTGCCGCGCAATGTTCACTATCTCGTCAAAGCTGACACTGCCACTGTGCTTAACTGTGAAGGAAAGCAACAGCACCAATAAGTTCATGTAAACACAGGGCACTTCCAGTCCCCCGTGCTTCGTTAGAGAAGCACCATTCCCAGCACTCAGGCCACAGGGAAACCAGAGCGTTTACAACTACAGTGGGGCTGCAATCAGCATGCCTGTTCCCAGACTTCGGCACAAAGTTACCCACAAGAAGAATAACTCTGTTTCCTAAGTTGGCATTTTCTGTCAGCTCACCTCTGGACTGTACTAGGCAATGCATTACAAGACAGGTACAGTGGCAGGTGGCTGTTCTACCCCATCTTCCAAGAAACTGAACTGCTGGCATACAAACTGTGTCTGTACTCTGACATCTAAGGAATTCCCACCGCCCAAGATACAGCCCCACGACACGTGTTTGCCAGCTTACGCTGAATAATCTAAGATGCAGGTACCTATTCCCCTCTTAGCACCAAGCCACATTCAAAACTAAAGCTAGATGAAAACTTACTGTTTTTCTGCTTCTTTCTGTCACGAGGAGGCTCCTTTAGAGCTTTGATAATCAGAGCAGAGGCAGAAGGAACAACCTCAATCTAAATGAAAAGAGATTAGGTTTTCCCCCCCTCCAAGCAGAATTAGGTAACCCATGAAAAGACTCAACGAAGCAGTCAATTCCTGGAAAGCTACTGCCAGAGCACTGCGGTTTTGGTTAGTTCACAAGGTTTTTTTGTGTGACACAGAAATTTGTTCCCAGCCTTTCGGCACAGGCCTCCCCACAACCAGAAGAGGACTGCTTCCTGGACTGGGGCTTCCTCTCAGCTCACCACTGGAATATACCAGCCATGGAATTCAGGACAGGTATAGTGGCGGGTGGCTACAGGACTAGATAAGGAGGGTTTTTTTTTTAATTTCTATGTTGCTTGAAATAGTTTTTTTCTGGTAAGAAAGAACAATTTATCTGCAGCAGGATAAAACATCAACTTCTGCATGTGGGCAGATCTCTTCCCATTGCTCACAGGCTGGGAACCTTCAGCCTGGCAAGCCCCAGCACTCATACACAGACACAACCACCACCAGATTTGAGCCAGAGGTGCTCAGAAGGCTCACACAGGTGTTTTAAGGTCTTTCCCAGAAGACCCCCACACAATTCACTGTGTGGAACTCATTTTATCCACCTCGGAAGGATGAAGGGCTGAGTCGACCCTGCCGGGATTTAAGCTTGTGGTTCCAGCAAGCAGAGCTGCGCTTGACGCTTGCACCACTAAGCCATCCCTTCTGGCGTTTAGTACCTGAGCTTGCCTGTTCTGGATGGTGAGCTTCACCGTGATCCTCAGCCCCTTCCAGTCCCCCGTGGCCTTGGCGATGTCATCACCAACTTTTTTGGGAGACTGAGAAAAAAAGACACATTACGACCACAAAAAAATATCGCTTGGATCACAGCAGAGCACCCCCATACTACACCGTACCCCGCACACGCCACAGTTTCTTCTGCTGCGTTGCCATATCGCTAAAAACCTTTTCTCCCGGGCGGAACGGGGGG